TGTATTATGTGCATTTTTAATAGTTGATTATTAATAGCTGTTAAATAACTTAGTTTACTAATATGTGTTTATGAATGTTTATTCAAGTTATTTGTGTGGTATAAAATGTGAGGTTGTGGTGGTTTGGAGACATTCTGATTCTTACTCTCTAGTCTCTCTTTCTTTCTCTCTTTCATTTAATCAATTAAGATCATTGTTAACCTAAGTTCTCCTAATTGTTGCAAATCTTACATATACTGCTCATGATCAGATGCATGGTATATGTGTTCCCAGTACTGTGTACTGCTCATGATCAGATGCATGGTATAGGTGTTCCCAGCACTGTATACTGCTCATGTTCAGATGCATGGTATAGGTGTTCCCAGTACTGTATACTGCTCATGCTCAGATGCATGGTATAGGTGTTCCCAGTACTGTGTACTGCTCATACTCAGATGCAAGGTATAGGTGTTCCCAGTACTGTGTACTGCTCATGCTCAAATCACCTGAATAAAGGAATGGGCTACCTCAAATCAGGATTGGTAGGACTAGGTGTGGTTATTGATGATGATCCATCCAATATTGTATCAACTTCAAGATCATCAATAGTTATATATAAGGATTGTTCCCAGTCAAATTGTTTAATATTGCTGTCATTAACTATAACTTTATAATACTTTATACATTGCTGGTTCTGTTGATTAGAATGAACTAAAAACTACAAAAGAATATACACTATATACCCATGACATTATAATGAAAGACAGAGAGAGAGAATACAAGATAGAGTTACTTGTTTCACAATACATTATACTAAAGTATGTCCATTCTATACTACTGGAGACAGGGAGGATTGATGTCTTTAAGTTGGTTTCAAGGTTTTGGTTTTGGTGGTATTGGAGGAGGAATATCCAGACCACCTAACCTATCCATGATCAGCTCTTGAGTACTGAACTTCCTCTGGAGGAGAGGGGGAGAGAGATAAAGGGTGTGTTACTCCATACAGTATAATGTGTATTGGCTTACATTTCCATTGACTGCTGCATGGACTACTCTTTCCTCAGTGAGCGGTTTATTCTTTGGTGGTCTCTTACCAGCTGCTATTGATAGATCAGCATACAATACTTTATGAGGAGCAGCTGGAGGAGGAATGGGAGGAGGAACAGACTAGGAGGAGAGAGAGAGGATGTATAAGATACCATTACATGTACATGTACATTATCATTACTTTGTTGGTAACTGATGCATATACCACTGGTTGTTCTTGTGTTGGTGCTGCCTGTGGTCTCTTCCCTTTAGCAGCAATAGCCAGATCAGCATACACTGGCTTATGAGCTGATTCATCAACTAACACCTATTGAATATAACAACATGAACCTTAATTACTAATGTACATACCTTATGTACTAAAGCATTTACATGTACTTGTGGTATGTGTGTATTAGTTACTATAAGGTGGTATATCAGATTACATAAGGATAAGTTCACCTTATTACATTAGGATGTACTCAATTCACCCATACCTCTCTCCCTC